AAAGAGAGACTGGTGCAAGTTGCACCCAATCTAATAAGATCGTGAAAAATACTCAGAATGCATACCGATATATTGCATCGGCAACTCCATCTTCATCGTTGCTGATTCCAATTACATTTGCAACAGCCTTAGCCTTTTCAGACCCATTACTAAGTACGACACCTAGAGAAGCCAACTCCAGCATTTCCACATCATTTTCCCCATCACCAATAGCCATTATCTGATAAAAAAAAAAATCATGGATAATGGGCTTATTTACACCGGAATATACATCAGATGTCAATTTATCTAACTAGCTAATCGTCCTCCCTCCATTATTATCCTCGCCAGTGCAAGATGTTCCGAGTATTATTCACATGATATTTATAATTTTTTTTTTATGAACAAATTTGCAATTCATTCATGGGAAATTGGCGGGAATGGGAAGAATATTAGACATATTCATGGGGGAAAAAAATTTACTGAACAGGCACTCTAACTGACTTTATTTAGAGAAAAAAAAAATAGGGAGAAATTGGTATGTACCTCATTTGGAGGAACACCTAGATGATCGAGAAGTATTCTTACTCCATTTCCTTTGGAAGTCCCAAGTGGAACAATTTCGAGCATGTCAGGTACTGCTTGGACCACAGATGCACGAGCTTGTGTTGCTTCTTCCCAGTATGGCCGCAAAGTACCGGAAACGCCCTCAGAACTATCTAAGAAAATTAGCTTCTGCAATGACGGGTATATACAGCCATGAAAAATAATAGCTGAGAAAACAAGATTTTGTAACTACATCTATTTGAAGTAAATGTTAAATTCAATTAATATGGTGGCAGTTTGAGGCACGACACAAAATTATAGTGTTTGCGCTCGGTGTATTTACCAGCTTCGGACTTGCGGAATAAAGCAAATTAAGAATCAATCAGGCTCAGCCCACATAACAAGTTTTTCTATCCATCTACTCATCATAGAATCAGTGGCCTTAGTTCATTACTAATATATTTGTCATGTTGTAACTTTTGAAATTGTATTTGACAATTTACATCAGTGATTTATCAATTATTAGAATATGCATTTCAACGTTTTAATATCGAAACACACACACACACACACACATACTGGATAATGGAGCTAACTGGCTATTAGGCTTGATGAAAAAAAATTAGTTACTTTTCTTATTGTGTCTTTCGCATCACTTCGTACATTCCACGTGTTACCACGTCTTGTTTGGATTAAATTTCTGAGCCCAATAAGCTTATCGTGTTGTGTTGTTATCATACACACGTGTTGTTAATATCGAAACACACACACGCGCATACTGGATAATGGGGCTATGATGAATTAAATTTAATAATTTTGCTTCTATCGCATCATATCGTAATTTTCACGTGTTACCATGTCTTGTTTGGATTAAATTTTGGGCCCAATAAGCTTATTATGTCGTGTTGTTATCACAGCAACCAGATAATAGCACATTACAAACGATGTGCCAACCTTGTTTATCAAGAGTCAGCTTGAGAGACATGACAGTGACTATAAAAATCCAGTTCATAGTAGCTAATAAAACCTGTATTTCTATGTCTGCCAGGAGCTGCTCAACTGAAGGTATAATCTCTGCCTGTAGACAATTGTAAAGAATTTGAAGAAATCATATGTCAGATCACTTAAAAAGAAAAGTCTGAAGACTAAAGTCACTCAACACCTTTGGCTCATGATACACGGTATGAAGTGCTTCCACGAGGGGATGTTCGAACAATGTTAAGCACCTGCCCTCACTAAAGGCAATAATAGGAATTTTATGGTTGCAAGAGTAGACAAGTGCCTGCAGTAGAAGGAGAACGTTTCAGTAACATGATACGAAAAAAGCCCAGATTTAAATCTAGAAGTATGTACCAAGAAAAGTTATACCCACCTCTCTGCAGATACTAACATCCAAATTTCTTCTAAATATTTCACGACCTTGTCTGCCATAGACAAGCAATCCCTGTAACCAATAATTGAGCACCAAATATATGAGACTGTCTAAACTTGAAAACAATTAATTAAAGCATGATTATTGTATCATCTATAGTGTTTTAAGAAAATATATGAGACTGTCTAAACTCGAGAACAGGGTTTTACATAATTTTCTTAGCTAGACTCGTTGAGGCTCGAGTTCAGCTTGTAAATGATTGAACTTGTTTATAGCTCTTCTCTTTAACAAGAGAGCTCGTTAAGGCGCATTAAGCTGAGAGTGGGGGCTTTTACTTTCTTTCTTTTTTTTTTTTTAGCTTAGTCAGTTCGTTAAGGGTCGAATTCAACTCGCCAATGTTGATAAACGAGCGGAAATCGAGCTCCGTTATCGGCTCGAGCTCAGCTTAGCTTATTTAAAGCTCAAGTACACAACATCATAAGTTCTGTTTCCTCAAATTATGGATCTCTTTTATATCATCCATAGAGTATACACCCTTTAAATTATGGATCTCTCGATTAACCAACCCCATATTATTTTCTTGCGCAAGGGAAATAAAAAACAAAGAAAGTATCTATCTTATTTGTCTCCTACCACTTTCCTTTCCAAATGCCTGGTCTTTGCCTCTTTAGACTTTATCTAAAGGCAAATCAGAGAAATAGTTATCGGTCTTTTGACTACAACAAAAAACACAAGAAGAGCATTTCTGCTTCAGATGAATGAGTCAAGAAATTCCAATGTGTCCCATTAGACATCACTTTACACGAAGAGAAGAATTGCTAAAACCAGGAACAATATGTTGGAGATCAATTGCTAAAATTTCAATAATTGGGCTTTTGGGCCCATTTGCTTAGTATACCCATTAGGTTATAACTAGGGCTAGGGTTATGACTCTATTTAAATGGACTGGTATTTGATACATAGGATTAGCTTGTGTTGAATAGAATTGTTGGCTTTAAGCTTGGCGGGAAGTTTCTTCCCGAAGTGCCGGCCTTAGGCTGTGGGATCCGTCCTGAGTTATTTTCGTTAATTTCTTAATTAATAATATCGATTATCTATTATTTTGGTTTGCTTTCACCCTTAACTCTATCACAATAGAATGCTGGGGAATAACTATTTTAGGTACTTCCAAAGGAGGATAAAGTATTATGTACTATATAGCCCAAGATACATGATTAACAAAGGAAGAACAGAAGTCTTAACAAACAGACCTCGCAGTAGAAGGAACAGAATAAGGCAGGAAAAGGTGTGTATATCAATAACTACACACGTGTACATATGTATACATTAAGATTTTTCAAAACATGACAACAGGCTAACCACCCAAATCAAATGTTAACTTTAGAGAAATATTGATACAAATGTATGACAAATAAGATTCTTACTGAAGAGTTAAATTAGAAAGGGTATAACTACACCTGTACAAAAACTCCAGGAGAAAACTCTGAAATAATGCCATCTTTGCCAACCAAATTTACCATCTTGAAAATATTTATTACAGCCGGACGAGTCTGTATCACAAATTAACCAAGGAGAAACACATTAGTTTGAGGGTCCACCAGAGCCTACATCACATGTAAGTATAGAAGTCAAGTCAAATCTCAAGAAAAAGTTCTTGTCTTACTTTCCCAGTGGCTATAACCACTTTTACACCCCTTGATAAGGCTTCTTTTAGAGCTACTGCAGTTGATAAGGAAATTTGACTTTTGCTGTTTAGTAGTGTACCTAAGGTTAACAAAACATGGAAATGCATCAAATGGACATTTCTATTAACAAAAGAAAAAGAGAAACAGAGATACGTAGAAAATATGTCCGCAACAAGATAAAGCGAAATATAATAAATCATCACCCTACATGAAATCTTACCATCCATGTCGCAGAATATGTAGCTAAACTTTGGCTTGTAGAAACGGAGACTGCCTTCTCTCTTCCTGTCTTTTGACAATTGAGAATGTGATTTTCTCTGGGATATCAGAAATCGAAATATAGCTATAAACGAATGGCATGAGTGTTCTCTATCATAGCTGTATTAAAAGAAAGACCCAAATTCTGATAAGTTCATTTGATATATTACCACCCGTGCAATCAGTATGGGGACTGCCATTTGCCTCAGCATCATACGCGCTTTGGATCAGTCCTTTCCCCTTCCAGCCAACACCCTTCAATATAAGTTCCTCCTCGTTCTCCATTTCCTCTTCTGCTTCGTCACTTAACTCATGATCAAATCCCAAAAGATGCAGCAGCCCGTGAACCTATGGAGAAGTATTGATACATTAGCATTCAAGGTTTTGACTACTCAATACTCCTGCCAATTTTTGTGAACACAAACAAATAAAGTCACACAATGCTAATCGAAAATTGAAACCAGATAAATCATTACCTACAAAAGGTCTGGTCGATATTCCTAATTAAAAGAATAATACCCAACTCCGTAACCTTCTGATATTATCCATTCTTGTCTAACATCGAGATAAGTTATAACGAAATATCCCCAAATGCATACAAAATTTGGACACACAGACTGCAAGCCATACTCATCATGTGCCATACAACCATGCAGATTTGTTAAGATACACATCAAATTCACAGAAGCTGCGAGCTTTCCCCATCTCTCCTAAACTTCCTCTGATCTTCGTCCCGACTCCAGGAGTAGGCGTATTACTGCTCTTTAGCTGAGAATCAACTGCTTCGCTTATCTATTTCAGACCTATGAATGGGGATAGTTTGGAAACTCACACTAGATGCAATGAGAATAATTCATATGAAAAATTCTGTAACGCCCAACAATGATTTCGATGGGAAAGAGCCTCAACATGCTATGGTGCCCAGGGGGATAACCCCCATCTTACTGTTTTTCTTTTTCTTTGAAAAGAAAAGGCATCTTAAAAAAATAAAACAACAAACTCCATATGAAACATAAAGCAACTCCATAGTGCAACTTCTCCTATAATGGATTAATGTCCCAGATTTGCTCAAACCAACAAATGTTGTATACAAGAAGCAAAATTTACTAAAAGGAAGAGAAGCCAGCTACAGATGCGATTGTGATAAATCCTAATGCATAACTAATTCAAGGGAAAGTGGTGTTAAACTAACCAAGAGAATGCGTATTTCATCAATAAGATTGTGCCCTCTTTCCTCAGCTTGTCGAGCAGCTGTCTCGACAGATATCACGATGTCCCCCAACATTAGCTGCACAAAATACTACTCATCAGCTCTTCTAAGCAGAGCATATCAGAACATACAATGAAGGGACTAAATAGTTACTCACAATGGGAAGCTTGAGCTCAGGGATATGTTGGGACATTGAGAGGACATCTGTGGCGTGATCTTCACCTCTCCATTCCTTATTAAGCTTTTGAATGAACTCATCATTGCATAGAAGTACTGATAGCTCTACGCTCTGAAAACAGCCGACGTCACTTATTGCAGCATCTCTGGTTGAATATTCTGCAGTGGATAGACGTTCGAATGCTAATTTCATCGCCATTGGAACATTAAGACGCATCAGTTCTGCAATATCCTACAGTGGCAGAAAAAACAAGCAAAAATCAAAAGCAATTTATTACTTCTATTGGCCGTATGGGAAGAAAAATATCTGGGGGAAAACGGAACAACGCAAAATTAATATCCAAAATATAGGAAATGCGAAGAGAAAGAACCATAATTTCAGGATCTTCGGGCAATTGTTCCTCGAGGCAAATATTCACACTCAACTCGAGCTCCTTCTCCTTACTCTTCCTCGTCGCCGCAGACGATCTTCTGCTCCTAATCTTCCTGTACTCCCGCCGAGCCGCCGCCGTCACATTCACATTTCTGCCCGCAACCCGATGCGCAGCACCTGAGTTGTCGACAAGACTGATAAATCTCCTCCTTCCGAATAGAGAGGCAGTCTTCAAATGGAAACGAAGAGGAGGAGACGGAGACGGAGGCTTCGAATAAAGAGCTGCAACGAAGGGTAGAGCGCGCGGAAGGACACGCGCCGCCATGGAAGAAGGTGGGTGAGAAGGCGGGATGCGGAGGAGAGGGGAGATGCGAGATAGCATTCGGAGGTCGATATTGTTTTTAATTTTTTATTTTATTTTACTTCTTTTTTCTCTCTTTTTCCTAGTTGGTTTTTAGCGTCGTTATTGAGCAATCTATGAACACTGTCGATTAGCTCGTGCTGAAATCGGCGTCAAACAATCTCCAGCTAAATTGCTGGTGCTGTTGCACAGATTTTTACTTATATAATTAGTAGAAGAAGAGACTAGTCAGTCATCCAACCGTGCAACATAGTCCATTCGAATTTATGTTTGATAAGTTAGATGATAGCTGATAAGTAAATTTGAGCTTATAACTTATGATTTATATCTTAAAGTTAACTTATATGATAAAAATATGATAAAATTAGTTGATAAGGTAGTAGAAATAAAAATTTCAACGAGTTTATTTGAAAAATTACCCAAAAAAAACATATGAGATAAGTTCAAGTTTATTTGAGCTTATAACTTATGATTTATATCTTAAAGCTAACTTATATGATAAAAGTGTGATAAAATTAGCTGATAAGGTAGTAGAAATAAAAAGTTCAACGAGTTTATTTGAAAAATTACCCAAAAAAAAAAAAAACATATGAGATAAGTTCAAGTTTTTTAAAAAAACTCGTCCTACCAAACAAAAATTATTTGAATACAGGAAGCTTGTAACATAGCCTTAATCTATCATTACGCGTAAACTTTGAGCATTTAGGCTATGTTTGGTAAACCTAACTGATAAACTAGTTTACAGCTTTTAAGTGAATTTTGAGCTTATGACTTATTTTGAAAAACTAGCATATATGATAAAAGTGTTTGGTAAAAATAGTTGATAAGTCAACTAAAATAAAAATTTTAATGGGCTCATTTGAAAAGTTGCTTAAAGAAGTTTATAAGATAAGCTCAGCTATAAGCTATCTTATATGCTTACCAGACACAGCCTTAGTAACTGCATAGTATCGTGATGTTCTCAAATATTTATTGTTCTTTTGTGGTTGTAAAGAAAGTATAGTTCATAATAAACTAGGTCAAATATTTACTCATATGAAAATTTTGCCTTTTATGTGGAAAATAACATAAAATTGTTGAATAAATACAGTGTATGAACTCTAATAGTAAAATGGATCTGACTCGGCCTTCACTCGAACTGGTACGCTTGAATATGCCTTCCTCTACCTCAGACAATCTTCGAACCTACAAGAACTCGACACCGGAAAGTTTTTCGACGAAGAGCCTTAGATACCTAAGTCAGTAAGAGACTGACGAAGATGATGAACAGTGATTGAGTGTATAAGAGTGTGTAGAGAATGTAAATTGTAATCTAACCTACCACACCCTTTTATATAGGGGTGTGGTGTCTTGCTCTCCAAGTTTGCTCGGAGAGTTGACCCTACTGCCCAAGTTGCCCGTTCGTACGGTCTACAGTGTTGTGGGACGTCAGGCTTTGTCAGGTGTGCAGACGACCCAATCCCGTTGCGACACGTGGTCCAATCCTCGCATGGCGTTATCCCCGAGTTAAATGTCTTTTTGTTTGTCATGGGACCAGGTCCACATCATCCGGTAAAACATACATTAGGTAGAACATCTTTTCTTCCAGCTCCTCTATTGCTCCTGAGGTCGATTCGACCTCTTGGTCCATTAGGTGGTCGAGCTCGACGTGAGCTCATTTTGCGGTTGGCTCCTCTTTTCGGGAGGTCATTGTCGCCCTAGTTATTGCTTCTGGTCGATCTTTGGTCACAACTCCAATTTCCTTGTTAATCCGGTCTAATTGCTTGGTTTCATTAGTTTGGCTGACTCGGTATGGTATC